TTCTTCCATAAATTCTTTCACTCCAAAAAAAGAACCAATTACTGAACGACATTGCCGACAGCAAAAGTACAGTCAATTTTCTGATCATCATAGGTATTCAGACATTTACTTCTATTTTACAATAATATATATATATATATATAGATAGATAATATTAGTGGAAAATATACATACATATGCAAAATATATATAAAAATACCCATACATGTATATTTTCAGAAAAAAATTTTCCAAGAGGAAGAATCCAGGTAGAACTCAATGTCTAGGACAGAGTAAGGATATAATAAAAAGGCTTAAACACTAATATTCCATGGTCATAATTTATTCCATTGGAATCGTAAATACGATCCAAATCATCAGACCTACAAATTCAAAAATATATATATATGAAAATTCGCGTCCCTGGACAGACCGATAAGCAACTTAAACAATCAACAATGTTTCGCAATAAATAAATAAAAATGCAAGTGTATAATTGCTCCCGAGTAGTTTGTAACACTGTATTTATCATCTCCCAGAGTGCGCACAGAGACACAACTAAAGAAAAATTATACTGAGAGGTGCCCGGCTCTGGGGAACAGCTTCCTGAGGCCACGCCCTTTCACTGCGCCAAAGAGAGGGATCGGTACTCGCACCGAGGCCAGCGCAACCTAAGGTTGCGGGGACTCGGGCAATTTTTTGTTAATAGCCCGGGTGCCCGCGCTTGGATTTCCCAGTAAACCGACCGTGTATTACAACCTAACCTCATGGGGATGGGCGTGGTTGAGTAAATACAAATAAATAAAAAAGCAAAAGAAAATTTCAAAAAAGTGGAAGGTCTGCGTGAATTTTCAGTTACCTCGTTAAAAGTATATCTCATTCCCCTTTTACGTCCATACAACACGCTCTCAATAACCTTTGAACATGAGTGGCTTTTGGGCCTCTTATCGGGTGAAAATTTAATAAAATAAAATTCGTCCATGATAAGATTTGTATTGGAGTCTCATGTAACCGCTCAGCCATTCGTACATATATGTTGACGAACAGAAATAGAAATTTTATGAGTTGTTTATTCAAGCGCTATTTACTTGAGAGGTGATAAAAAAAACCAAAAAAAAACAGTGGAACTGAGATATACTCAGCGGGGATTTGTATGGAACAACGTAAAGAATTTAAAAGGAAGGTAGTGGGAATCGAACTCACTCAGTGATTGCTACCGAGGGTAACTATTGCTTTATGCCACGATTCCCTGTTTACTAATTCTAATATCCGTCAGTTAAGTACCATTCTTTCGGTTCGTAACTGTCAAGACAGAAGATATTCCCGCAGTAGGTTGCCGTTTCTTTCTGCGTTAGACTGGTTAACAACGAAGGCTATAGTACTCAGGCTATCCTGTTATTCAAACTATAAATGAAGTGGAGGAGAGAAGAGATGGATTTATAACTTTCCAAAGCTTATTTGCGCGTAGGTGAATGAAATGAACTCGACTGGGATTTGAACTAGCCTCTCCAATTTCTTAATGCGAGTGGACATCCATTACGCCATATATTGTTTTGGGTTAGCGATACCTTTAATTAAAGGCTGAACAAAGTCTTTTCATGGTGTATGGCGGTTGTAAATTATAAAATAGGACGGATCACAATAACATGTCTTTCATGCCGACAATATAAATAGTAAAGATACATCCGCATGCTATTTGTTCATGAACTTATTTAAAATAAGTAAAAAGAAACTAAATGAAATCGGCTTGACTATATAGCCAATATAACTATCGGCATCATTTAAGCAAGCTCCTGTGGAGGGCTCTTGATTAGGCTTTCAGCTCGTTCAGGAGTTTTAGAGTCTCTAAGTCTTTTTGCATATACTCAGTATTGGACGCTCTCCAAGGCTGCCGTTTGATCTGAGTTTTCATTTGCACGGTACTTTCTTTTCCTCGCTGCAGCCGTGGCAGTTTTGATTGCAATCTGGTCCTCTGTTGGCGGAGATTTTTTTTTGCGAGGCACACTGCTGCCGTATGCGTCAGGCAACAATAAACTACAGAATAACTCAAAATTGATATGCTGCCTTTAAATATTGCATTAATATTTAAACTTACCTTTTAAACCTTCAACAATAATTCTTCTGCCGCCACTTAATTTAAAGACAATTTTATGTACGTAGGTCCTTACTTTCCGTACAAACAATTATTTTTATTTCATGGGTGACTTTCTCTGGATTTCGCAATTAATTTCGATTATTCCCAAATTTATTTCCAAGTTATAACAAATGTTATCATGTAAAAAGTTCGTCGCAAAAATCACATAAATAAACGTTGAAAACAATTGAAGTTATGAAACTTTAGGAACCCAAAATTTCTGTAACATGAGCTATTGAAACTTTAATTGAAAAAATGTGGTATAGTAACACACTGACATTCGCATTTATTATATAAGGAAGAAGATGAGGTATTGAAAGTTAGAGAGTTGTGTCCCTTTAATTGAAAAAGTTTGACACAGTGACACACTGACATTCGCACGTAATATAGATAAAAGATTACCAACAATATTTATAAAATTACCAACAATACAATTTTTAAGCAAAATGACAAGCAACATATTTTATATTAAGATATAACAACAGTAAGATTTTATCGTAGAATTACCAACAATACATTTTATCTGTAGTTTAAGGCATTTTGCGTTCAAAATATATTTACTTGAAGCCATAATACCGAGTCAAAATGTTTAGATTTTGACATTAAATAACCAATATACGTTGATATGCCGCTAAACAAAATAAACCAAGTCTACCATTTGGACTCTCCTGCCAAGAAAATTTCTTTCTATATTTTTGACTATTGTATAAAACAGGGTTTAGCAACCTTTTGCTAACTATGTAAGGGCTTGGGGTTTTAAAATTATTCAGTATGCCAACAGCATACGTATTTTTATACAAGTCGAGGTCAGTATTCTTTTTCTACAATATATTTTATATAGTGATATATAGCATATATACTTTATTATATATATTAAAATTGAAAAAGCTAAATATCTTATTTGCGTTGTAGTAATTATTGGTTCGGACTTCGTGATGTCATTTGCGGCTGCGTGCCATTGGAAATTGCTTGGCCTGCCACGGGTGGCACGCGTGATGTATGTTGTCGACCCCTGGTGTAAAACAGACCAATGTCAATCTTTCTTGTGTACAACAGAATTCGGTATTAAATATACTGAAACGTTTGTTATGTCTTAGAAGAAACCAAACGAAAGTAAGAGCGAAAGATGCGACACTAAAGCTGGTTACAAGTTAGTTTTAAAATGGCTAACCTTCAATATTTGAATAATTGTTTAACATTACAGGATTTAAACAGCTGCCCTTGGCTAGGACATCTGGTTTTGACAGCGCTTCCTTGATTATATACATCTCAGGTAAGCCTTAGAACTCACTACTAATTCAAATATCCGAAGTAAAATAGATTAAATTTTCAATGCGTCCATCGCCGACTTGAGAACTGAACTCTTGAAAGTGACAGAGCACAAGAGCAATTTCAAAGAAAGGTAACGGTAATATCCAAAAAAATGCGGTCAGCTTGGGATTTCTCTGGTCAACAGTTAATTATGATGTTCTTTGGAGACTGGAACTTCACATTCAACCAAATCTCTTTCTTCATTATTAATTATTATGCAAACCTAAACTTTGTCTACCTTTTCGATTCAAGGAGAATTTTTTTTATATCTACATTCTGGAATCTGTTGCAAAATAAACCTCTGTCTACCTTTCTGTCTCCCTTGCAAAAAAGTCTTGTCTACCTTTATGACTATAGTACCAACCATACTTTTGTCTACCTTTTTGATTATTGTACCAAACAAACTTCTATCTTTTTGTCTCCCTTGCAAAACTATGTTCTGTTTATCCTTTCGACTATCAGATCAATCAAGCCTATTTCTGTCTTTTTGTCTCCCTTGAAAAACTAAGCTCTGTCCATCTTTTTGACTATCAAACCTCTGTCTACTTTCTTGACTATCATACCAATGAAACATCTGTCTACCATTTTGTCTCCCTTACAAAACTAAGCCCTGCCTATTGTTTCAACTATCGTACCGACCAAATCTGTTTACCTTTCTGAAGATCGTACCAACCAAATATCTGTCTAACTTTTTGATTAACATACTAAACAAACTTTTGTCTATGTTTTTGTCTGTATCTGTCTATATTTCTGAGATGAGGTATTATGTACACCATTTACATTATTCGGACTATTGTCCTCATCTTTGTCGCCATATTTATTACAACGTTTCGGCCTTTCAATATCTGTCTATATTTCTGAGATGAGGTATTATGTACACCATTTACATTATTCGGACTATTGTCCTCATCTTTGTCGCCATATTTATTACAACGTTTCGGCTTTTCAGTATCTGTCTATATTTCTGAGATGAGGCATTATGTACACCATTTATAACAACGTTTCGGCCGTTGTACGCTCCAGCCACCTTTAGGTGGTTGGAATGTCGAACTGAAACCTTTATTTAGCTCACTGGGGTAGACTGTTCTCGTTCCACGTGCCATGTTTAATGGATGTCAGTTATCAGTTATCTCCTGTTAAATCCCCTCTCCAAGTTCTCCACCGCCTTAACTAAGTATTGAATTCACACTCTTTGGTTCCTGTCACTGGATCTCACTAACACCTTTATCCACTGTGCCATGCGTCCTTGAGCGAAATAAAGGGTTCAGTTCGACATTCCAACCACCTGAAGAAACTGACGCTATGGAAGTTTCCGAGCTCGTGAGATAATAAACAGTCAACGGTCACTTAGAGCAACAAAAAAACAGGAAGTTGTGAAGAGTCATGAACCACTGAAAAGATATGACATATAAAGGATGGATCTTAGTTCTGCACAATCGAATATCTTCCTTTCTTATCGACAATGTGAATCGTAGCAATGAATATAACTTCTCGAAAATAATTAAAAAATTAAAAATTTATATGCAAAATACAGGTTTTCAAGAGCAGAGCCCACTGTTTTGAATGAACTCAAGAATCAATTGTGCTCCGCTATCTGGTGAGCGTCCTGGGTAAGAAGATAAACTACATCGTCAACGGTACGACGATAAACTCCGTCTAGCAGCAAGGCCTATGATCAGGAGATTTTGAGAAGCGAAGAACCGCCTCTTAATTGCTGGTGTTCTCTGGTCCACCCAAACCCAGGGTGGTAGCACCTGTTAGGGTCCCAGATATGGGCAAATAGTTAACCCCCAAACTGGGATCAAAACACTATGAAAGTTAAAAAAAATAGGGTTTAATACCAGCAATACATTTTTGAAGAAAAAATATTACCAGCAATACATTTTTGAAAAAAATATTACTAGCAATAAAAATCTTGTCGGCATTGATTAACCCATTGAGATTGATATGCTGTAAAAGAAAACAAACCAATATATACTGAGATAGATAGATAGATAGATAGATAGATAGATAGATAGATAGATAGATAGAAAATATTACCAGCAATAAAAATCTTGTCGGCATTAAATAACCCATTGAGGATGATATTCCGTAAAATAAACTAAACCAAACCAAATCATCTACCATGTATTCAGTTGTAAAAGCAGAATAACATATATCATATTTTCATTACTTCAAAGCTCTCATAAAAATTAAATTTCGGTATTAAATGACCCATTAGAAGTTAATATGCCGTTAAACCGACAAATCAAACACAAACACGTTAGACGGATTACTCGCTTTTTGTTTTTATCCCTGTCTTTAAAATCTTCAAGCTCACTTCCATAAATTCCAATTGTCTCTGGCTTTATGTATACGTGCCCTTTTTATGTTCCTTCGCCTTAAAACCTCTTCGTTGCTAACCTGCTCCGTCCAAAGTATTCACAAAATCCTTCTATACAAACACATTTCTGATGACTTCAGTTTTCTCTTCGTCTGTGAGGAGATTGTTCAGCATTCACTGTTACGTAAGAGGATTTTTTTTTCTTTTTTATGGTTGATCAAACTTTTGCGAGTCATTTAAAGCCAGAAAATATTTTTTTAGATTGAAATAAGTCTTTTGAGATAATACTGGTTCTTTTCCTGATGTTCGCAGCGTCATTCTATTCAACGATATCTCTATCGCTTGAAGCCGCCTCATAATCTGTGAGGAAATTGTTTAGCCTTCATTCCCAGATATGAGATTCGATGTTACATACCACTTCAAAGTAATTTTACCATTTCTAAATACGTTGTTTAGTTTCTGGATGGCAACTTTCCCGATTCCAGAGTGCCTTCGGAATTCTTTGTCACATTTTAGGTCGTTCGTTACAAGACTATTTCTCTCATTCCTTTTGCTTTTATTGAATCTATGAAACATATGTTTAGGTCATTTTGCATTTGAGCTGCTCGGCCTTATGGCATTCTGATGCTAAATTGATTAGTTGAGTTGGTTATTACGGCTTTTTCAGGTTATTTAAAGCCTGAATATAATTTTAGATTGTAAGAATTTTTGAGAGAGATTAATGATTTACTGATACAAGTTCTATTAAATAAACCACAGCTGTGGGGAGAAGATGACTCATAGCTTTCAGAAGATTATTTAAAGCATGCAAATATTTTTAAACTGTTAGAATATTTTGGTGGAACTAAAGAATATCGCCCATATGAACATATGCTATGGAATTAAGAGAGGGTAGCGTTCACTTTTGTCTGTTGGAAAGAACTGTAGAAAAGAAAGAAAAGACGCCAGTCCCCACCGTTGACCATTTAAAAGATAGTCCGAACAGCGGATTGGTTGTTACAAACATCCAATCGGATGTGCGGAAAACGTGGTCTTTTTTCGTCTAATTCATTAAAAAGGCCAGGGTAGCTGTTGGCGTTTGCTTGCAAGGGGGAATCAGGGGTTGATCTCCCCTGATTGGATCGACTTGATGATGGGGTGTATGATGTTGAAAGACCCGAAACTCCCTGAGGAATCAAGTCAAATTACATCACTGACGACTCCCTCGGGAGCCTACTTAAGAGCGTATTTTTGAAAAATAGGGTTCAAGAAATTCATCCAGTCTACATGAACGATTTTGAACCCTTGCCAAAGCTAAATAAAGGGAGATAATTTTTCTCTCCAGAATCTATCTTACATAGCTATGAATCTATCATTCGTTCTTCCTTAGCATATTGCTGCCACTCCTACTATATGTCTAGAAATCCTTGATAAAATCCAAAGAAGAATCAGCAATATTATTGGTCCTGATCTGGCCTCTCGGCTTCAGTCACTTTCCTACCGCCGTAAAGTTTCCATCTCTACCTTTTCTATAAATACTTTCGTGGCAACTGTTCGGACAAGCTTTTTGTTATGGTACCTAGATTCAATCGTAGTGCTAGACTTGTGACGGTCTCGTCAATTTACAGGTGAATTGGCTTGACGAAACCGTAAGTTCTATGCTAAAAGTTTATTTTCTCACTTTGGGAACACTCTTCCAGCTCCATGTTTTCCAGTCAAGTTTCAACTTCAAAAATTTAAATGCAATGTCAATCGCTATCTACTGTTCTCCTGATTGCTCTTCTTTTGTTCTTGTTCCTTAGTATTGTTTCTCTTTTCTTTTCTTTTTTAATTCTTCCACATCCAGTAACCCCCTGTAACCCCCTGTGTCTTAGTTGCTTTACTGCCTTGCTCGGGGTGAACTCAATTAAAAACATAAATAAATAAGACTTTTGGGTATCTACAGTCCAGATATGTCAGTAATATTCCATATTCGGTCTGTTCTGGCTCTTGCAGAAAAAAAAAACAGCATAATGGCCATAGTTAGGTGTTTGAGAGATAAAGTCTCACGATAGAAAGTTTAACGGGAAGGGTTAATTTTGTTGTATCAACGACTATATAAACCCATTGAAGAAGAAGAAGAAGAAGAAATAATAATAATGTCCTTTATTATTTTCGTCCTCCCCTTTGTGATATAATTTTCCGGATTTGTCGTTTCTTCTTCTTCTTCTTCTTCTTCTTCTTCTTCTTCTTCTTCCTTCCCCTTATGACTAATTTTCTACGAGGAATTTCATCCCCTTTACGCCATTTATGCTAGCAGTCGCTGGATGACGGTCAGGCGACACCTGTTGTGCATGTCGGTCCTTACCTGGCGAGGTAAAGACAGACATGCACGTTAGGTTTCATCTTGTCTATGTTGTTAGCCATGATATATCTTGGAATTGATAATGTAGTGCTTTCCCATTATCTTATCTAGGGTAATTTATGAGGACACCATTGGCCGTTGACTCAGAGAGTTCCTCTGCCTTTTGTTAGGTCTTGTTTTTCGTCCTACTGGCTTGCAAACGAGCTGCCTCAGTCGGAAGAACTTAGAGTTGGGCAGTCGACAGAAGGACAAAACTTATTGAGAGGTCCAAAGGACAGGGAGAAGTGGAGAGCTATGATCGTCTACGTCGTGAAAGGACACGGCACATAAAAAGAATGAATTTTCCACGGGAAATGATCTTACAAAGGGGAAGGTAAAAAAAAAGAGATGGCAGGAATTTAAAAACGACTAAGAAGTGAAAAGATAAAATAATATTGAAACATTTTGGGAAAAATTAGACAGCAATAAAGATGGTGGGATGAAGAAAATGAAGAAAATATGAGGAAGAAGAAGCAGAAAGAAAAATAGATTTTCAAAAAAAACCAAAAGAATATAAAAAGAAAACAATATGAAGAAAGCCAAAAAAAAATTCACGAAGGAAAGTATAATTCTCAAACAAAAGACGGTTTAAAAAGATATGAGTAAAAGAAATAAAATTATAAAAGAAAACAATATTGAAACTGTCACTCTTGTGCCAATATTAAATAAGAGACAATTTAGTTTTGTATCAGCCAATTTCAGAACCTTGCCTAATTCTTGATGTTTGCGGAATCTTAGTGCAACTCTAAAAGCCAACTTCTGTGTAACCAAATAAAATTCAAAAAATAAAAAAATTAAAATAATCAATTTAAAAAAAAATGTTTAAATTTATATTATTATTTGATTTGAAACGACCTACATTTGAACAAGTAGGTAATTACATCGTCTTAGTAGAATATTATGGTCGCTTCCACTGCTGATGCTCCGTGTGATAGCTGGATGAAAACTTGACAAGTAAGTCAGCAACTCACAAAAGACTGCAAGTGAAAATTCCGTTTCCTCTCTGGCATTCGATAGCTAATCAACTTAAGTTTCCGATATTCGCTCTCTTTAATGTGCGCAACTGTCAGTGCCAGCTGTCAGGAAAAAGGCATGTGTTTGAAGTAGGCGGTGTTATGGCGTAGTCTTTGACTTTGAAAAGGGGTCCTTTGATACCTTAAGAGCGTAAGAAGTAACTTGACCGCCTCTCTTAACCGATGCATAAGGAAGTAGTTGTAGGAAACTGTGTTCTCTGATTATTCCTTGAAAACATTTACTCTTAAATCTTACACTTATAAATAACTAGCAGCATGACCCGGCATTGCCCGTGCTTGATTCAAAAATCGTACGACTCGTACAGCAATCGCTATCACTTGACTTAAAATATTTTTGCTCTTCCTTGCCTTTAAAGGAGTGCGCTTTGCCGTGCTGATGTTGCTACATGCCTTACTTCTTGCCTATCTCACGCTGGGTCATCTGAAATCAACACTGTAGCAAGGTCTGGTTGGAAATTGAATACAAATCATTTTATGGATTATTATTGCCGTTCCAAAGATGATTTCTTTTCTATGACAGCTCCACTGGCCAATGAATACTTTTATCCATGTCGCTATGTCCAGTCGTGTATGCACCCACTATGCTTCCCACTACGTAGTCGTAATTGTTCTAGCGAAACAATGATTTTCTAAGCGTGGGATAGATCTGGCACAGGGGTGAATGTAGGGGACACTCAGTGAGGATCGAACTCACTAGTCACTTTTAATCGATCTAATTGCTAACCACTACACCACGTCGAAGTAACCATTTGTCTTCTGTTGTTATTTTCTAAACGTGGCATAGATCTGGCACAGGGGGAATGTATGAGACATTCAATAAGGGTAGAAATCACCAATCAGTTGTAATCGATCTAGCGAGACAAGCTTGATAACCATTACACCATGTCGAGGAAGTCAGACAATGAAAACCGGTATGTCTGTGACTTTTTTTTCAATTTCCAAAGTCTTGCTTGTTCAGAAATCAATTAATTTCTCTCCTTCATTTTGATTCACCGTCTACTGCAGCCCCTGTCCACGACATTATTTACCTTGTTGGTAACTGGCATTATAAACATGTGTGTTACGATTACAACCAAACAATATTTTTCTTGGGACAACTCGCCACGAGGATCGTAATTATTGTTGTTATGGATGAGCATCTTCTTCATCACATGAGTTGATTCAAGCGGTGCTGCTACCTGGGCATCCCCAATAGGGCCAGGTATCCACAAGGCGTCGTTTCAGGCACAAAAATTCCTGGAAATAGCCTCTAGTACGCCAAGCAGAAAAGGAACAACTTATTTTTCTGTTTGGTAATTTTTGTCTGGTTTGCCTTGGTTAGTCAGTATTTTCTTCACGGCGTTCTTATTCCAATGTACAACGACGTCGTCTATCAGAATTCGTCTTTTGTACCACTTGAGTCCAACGACTGAAAATGTGTTGCACAGTTATAATGGTTTTCATAAACGGGTAGCACACGTGCACATGAAGAGACTGAGATAGATAGATAGATAGATAGATAGATAGATAGATAGATAGATAGATAGGTATGAAAAGACTACGATCGATAGATAGATATGAACAGCCTAAGATAGATAGATAGATATTAAATATAAGTATATATATTTAAATATATATATATATATATATATATATATATATATATATATATATATATTAAATTAGGTTATATATATATATATACAGAAAAGAGAGATAGAGAGAGAGTGAGAGAAAGAGAGGGAGATAATGAGCAGACCGAGATAAATAGGCAGATATGAGGATATTAAATATATAAACATTTATACATAAATATGGACAAATTAATATATATATATATATATATATATATATATATATATATATATATATATATATATATATGCGTGTGTGTGTGTATAATTATAAAAGATAGATAGATAGATAGATAGATAGATAGATAGATAATGAAGATAGATAGATAGGTTGATGTTAAATATATTCATATACATATACATAAATATAGACAAATTACGATAGATAGATAGATAGATAGATAGATAGATAGATAGATAGATAGGATGATGTTGAATATATAGATATACATATACATAAATATGGACAAATTAAGATAGATAGATAGATAGATAGGTTGATGTTAAATATATAGTTATACATATACATAAATATGGCCAAATGATAGATAGATAGATAGATAGATAGATAGATAGATAGAAAGAATGAGATAGATAGATAGATAGATAGATAGATAGATAGATAGATAGATAGATAGATAGATAGATATTTTTTCTCGTCAGGGTTCGGTTTCTCTTCCTCATATTTTTATTTGTAAGCCATGATGCACTGACTTATAAGACTGTCGTAAAAAAATATTGGAAACGGCTACTTGAATAGAAAAGCTTCGCTTTGATAATGGTAGAAAAAGTAACAATAATTCAATTTTCATCGATCAGCGATTGAAAGCCATTTTTTTTTTTTTTTTTTGCTTGACGTTTTTGTAGACAGCCAGGATAATTCCTCTTGCTCTTATGCCAGATTAGACACGAACCAAAAATATAATGCATATTTACATGACCACCCGCTTTTTTTCAGTTCATATACCTATGCTTGCAAAATGAGGAACACCACACCCTCTTTTGCGAATGCATCAACGTACGGTGAGGAACCTAATCACATATAGAACTTTGCCTTTTCACAGTTACGAGTTCCTCAAATGTTCACCGACACAGAATTGAATTGCTTTCTAAAAGCTCTTTTTTAAAAATTTCTTTACAACATTCCATTCTGCAAAGTGGTGCCATTCTATGATACCAAATATATTTATTTAATAAAAGTGTTGTCATATTTTACTGACAGAGAGAGACCCTGGTTTCTCTGACTACAAACCAATATGGATGTTTGGTTTTTGTTATTCAGAAAGAGCTGAAGATTTTATCTAAACTCGCAGTCTTCATTCTTTTGAAAGATTTCATCCTGTCCGTATTTTCTTTTCCTCTCATTCTCATTCTTTTTTATCATTTCACCACCAGCAAGGTAATACAGCCGCTAAGACTCAAGTTGTTACGAATAGTGAAAGAAAGGGGAAAAACTTTACTGAGTAGTAATGTAAATGAAAGAACAGTATTGAAAAAGAGATATGACAATTGACGTTGTTTTTAAATTCTTGGAATCCTCAGCTGGAAGGAAAGCACAAAACTAGGAGGAGAGCTCTACAATTTAGAAGTGATGAGACCTATCTGCCAATCTAGTTTGACGATTAAATTCGTGGTATCAAAGAGTACAAGCCATCGGAACAATTGTCATAGAAATAGCTATAGAAAAAGCGCAGAGATAAAACATTAACGCGGTGGAAAAGTAACTGAAGCCGAGATGTCAGGACAAGACGGATAAAATTTCAGATTCTTCTCTTTTTTATTCGTTTTTCATTATATACACTTTTTCCTTTTAGTCTTCTCTTTATTCTCCTTATCTTTACAATCGTTTTTTTTTTTTTTCATTATACACTTTTTGTTTTTATTTTCTTCTCATTCTCTTTATTTTATTATTCTTTACTTCATGCTCATTTCCATTTTCTTCTTTTCTTCCCTTCGCTCTCTTTTTCTCTTGTTTCCCTTCTACCTTTCGTTCTCTTTTTCTCTTTATTCTTTTCTTCCCTTCGTCGCGTTTTTCTCTTTATTCTCTTCGTCCTTTCGTTCTCATTTTCTCTTTATCCTCTTCTTCCCTTCATTCTCTTTTTCTCTTTACTCGTCGTCCTTTCGTTCTCATTTTCTCTTTATTCTCTTCTTCCCTTCGTCGCTTGTTTCTCTTTATTCTCTTCGTCCTTTCGTTCTATTTTTCTCTTTATTCTAGTCGTCGCCTTTTTCTCTTTATTCTCTTTATTCTCTTCGTCCTTTCGTTCTATTTTTCTCTTTATTCTTTTCTTCCCTTTGTTCTCTTTTTTCTCTTTATTCTCTTCGTTCTTTCGTTCTTTTTTTTTTCTTCTTTATTCTTTCCTTCCCTTTGTTCTCTTTTTCTCTTTATTCTCTTCGTCCTTTCGTTCTATTTTTCTCTTTATTCTTTTCTTCCCTTTGTTCTCTTTTTCTCTTTATTCTCTTCGTCCTTTCGTCTATTTTTCTCTTTATTCTTTTCTTCTCTTCGTCGCCTTTTTCTCTTTATTGTCTTCGTCCTTTCGTTCTATTTTTCTCTTTATTCTTTTCTTCCCTTTGTTCTCTTTTTCTCTTTATTCTCTTCGTCCTTTCGTTCTATTTTTCTCTTTATTCTTTCCTTCCCTTTGTTCTCTTTTTCTCTTTATTCTCTTCGTGTTTTTTGTTCTATTTTTTCTCTTTATTCTTTTCTTCCCTTTGTTCTCTTTTTCTCTTTATTCTCTTCGTCCTTTCGTCTATTTTTCTCTTTATTCTTTTTTCTTCTTTTCGCCTTTTTCTCTTTATTGTCTTCGTCCTTTCGTTCTATTTTTTCTTTATTCTTTTCTTCCCTTTGTTCTCTTTTTTTCTTTTATTCTCTTCGTCCTTTCGTTCTATTTTTCTCTTTATTCTTTTCTTCTTTGTTTTGTTTTTGTTTATTCTTTCCTTTTTCTCTTTATTCTTCTTTATTTCTCTTTTTTCCTTTATTTTTCGTCCTATTTTTCTCTTTATTCTTTTCTTCCCTTTCTTTCTCTTTTTCTCTTTATTCTCTTCGTCCTTTCGTCTTTTTTTCTTTATTCTTTTTCTTCCCTTTGTTCTCTTTTTTCTCTTTATTCTCTTCGTCCTTTCGTCTATTTTTTCTCTTTATTCTTTTCTTCCTTTGTTCTCTTTTTCTCTTTATTGTCTTCGTCCTTTCGTCTATTTTTCTCTTTATTCTTTTCTTCCCTTTGTTCTCTTTTTCTCTTTATTCTCTTCGTCCTTTCGTCTATTTTTCTCTTTATTCTTTTCTTCCCTTTGTTCTCTTTTTCTCTTTATTCTCTTCGTCCTTTCGTCTATTTTTCTCTTTATTCTTTTCTTCCTTTGTTCTCTTTTTTTCTTTATTCTCTTCGTCCTTTCGTCTATTTTTTCTCTTTATTCTTTTCTTCCCTTTGTTCTCCTTTTTTTTTTTCTTTATTCTCTTCGTCCTTTCGTCTATTTTTTTCTCTTTATTCTTTTCTTCCCTTTGTTCTCTTTTTCTCTTTATTCTCTTCGTCCTTTCGTCTATTTTTCTTTTTTATTGTTTTTCTTCCTTTGTTCTTTTTCTCTTTATTCTCTTCGTCCTTTCGTCTATTTTTCTCTTTATTCTTTTCTTCCCTTTGTTCTCTTTTTCTCTTTATTCTCTTCGTCCTTTCGTCTATTTTTCTCTTTATTCTTTTCTTCCCTTTGTTCTCTTTTTCTCTTTATTCTCTTCGTCCTTTCGTTCTATTTTTCTCTTTATTCTTTTCTTCCTTTGTTTCTTTTTCTCTTTTTTCTCTTCGTCCTTTCTTCTATTTTTTCTTTCTTTTTTTCTTCCCTTTGTTCTCTTTTTCTCTTTATTCTCTTCGTCCTTTCGTTCTATTTTTCTCTTTATTCTTTCCTTCCCTTTGTTCTCTTTTTCTCTTTATTCTCTTCGTCCTTTCGTTCTATTTTTCTCTTTATTCTTTTCTTTCCTTTGTTCTCTTTTTCTCTTTATTCTCTTCGTCCTTTCGTCTATTTTTCTCTTTATTCTTTTCTTCTCTTCGTCGCCTTTTTCTCTTTATTGTCTTCGTCCTTTCGTTCTATTTTTCTCTTTATTCTTTCCTTCCCTTTGTTCTCTTTTTCTCTTTATTCTCTTCGTCCTTTCGTTCTATTTTTCTCTTTATTCTTTTCTTCCCTTTGTTCTCTTTTTCTCTTTATTCTCTTCGTCCTTTCGTTCTATTTTTCTCTTTATTCTTTTTTTCCTTTTTGTTCTCTTTTTTCTTTATTTTTTCTCTTCGTCCTCTTCGTCCTTTCGTTCTATTTTTCTCTTTATTCTTTTCTTCCCTTTGTTTCTTTCCTTTTTTTTTTCTCTTTATTCTCTTCGTCCTTTCGTCTATTTTTTCTCTTTATTCTTTTTTTCTTCTTTTTCTTTTTTTTCTTTTCTCTTTATTCTCTTCGTCCTTTCGTTCTATTTTCTCTTTATTCTTTCCTTCTTCCTTTTTTTCTCTTTTTCTCTTTATTCTCTTCGTCCTTTTTCGTTCTATTTTTTCTTTATTTTTTTTTTCTTTCCCTTTGTTCTCTTTTTCTCTTTATTCTCTTCGTCCTTTCGTTCTATTTTCTCTCTTTTTTTCTATTTTTTTTTTTTCTTCCTTTGTTCTTTTTTTCTCTTTATTCTCTTCTTTTTTTATTTTCGTCCTTTCGTTCTATTTTTCTATTTTTCTCTTTATTCTTTTCTACCCTTTGTTCTCTTTTTCTCTTTATTCTCTTCGTCCTTTCGTCTATTTTTTCTTTATTCTTTTTTCTCTTCGTCGCCTTTTTTCTCTTTATTGTCTTCGTCCTTTCGTTCTATTTTTCTCTTTATTCTTTTCTTCCCTTTGTTCTCTTTTTCTCTTTATTCTCTTCGTCCTTTCGTCTATTTTTCTCTTTATTCTTTTCTTCCCTTTGTTCTCTTTTTCTCTTTATTCTCTTCGTCCTTTCGTCTATTTTTTTTATTCTTTATTCTTTTCTTCCCTTTGTTCTCTTTTTTCTCTTTATTCTCTTCGTCCTTTTCTTTTCTATTTTTTCTTTATTCTTTTCTTCCCTTTGTTTCTTTTTTCTCTTTATTCTCTTCGTCCTTTCGTCTCTATTTTTTTTTCTCTTTATTCTTTTCTTCCTTTTTTCTTTTTTCTCTCTTTATTCTCTTCGTCCTTTCGTCTATTTTTCTCTTTATTTTTTCTTTTTCTTCGCCTTTTTCTCTTTATTGTCTTTTCCTTTCGTTTATTTTTCTCTTTATTCTTTTCTTCCTTTCCTTTTTTCTCTTTATTTTCTTCGTCCTTTTTATTCTTTTCTTCCTTTTTCTCTTTGTTCTCTTTTTTTCTTTTATTTTTATTCTCTTTCTTTTCCTTTCGTCTATTTTTTCTCTTTATTCTTTTCTTCCCTTTGTTCTCTTTTTTCTTTTTTCTTCGTCTTCGTCTATTTTTTCGTTTTTTCTCTTTATTCTTTTTCTTCTCTTCGTCTTTTCGTCTATTTTTCTCTTTATTCTTTTCTTCGTTGTTCTTTTTTTCTTTATTGTCTTCGTCCTTTCGTCTATTTTTCGATCTATTTTTTCTCTTTGTTCTCTTTTTTTTATTCTTTTTTCTTCCTTTGTTCTATTTTTTTTTTTCTTTATTCTCTTCGTCCTTTCGTTTATTTTTCTCTTTTTATTTTTTTCTTCTTTTTCCCTTTTTCTCTTTTTCTTTTTTTATTCTCTTCGTCATTTCGTCTCTTTTTTTCTCTTTATTCTTTTCTTCCCTCTTTTTTTTTCTTTATTCTCTTCGTCCTTTCGTCTATTTTTCTCTTTATTCTTTTCTTCCTTTCTTTTTTCTTTTTTCTCTTTTTATTGTCTTCGTCCTTTCGTCTATTTTTCTCTTTATTCTTTTCTTCCCTTTGTTCTCTTTTTTCTCTTTATTCTCTTCGTCCCTTTCGTCTATTTTTTCTCTTTATTCTTTTCTTCCCTTTGTTCTCTTTTTTCTTTTTATTCTCTTCGTCCTTTCGTCTCTTTTTTCTCTTTATTCTTTTCTTCCCTTTGTTCTCTTTTTCTTTATTCTCTTCGTCCTTTCGTCTATTTTTTCTTTATTCTTTTCTTCCCTTTGTTCTTTTTTCTCTTTATTCTCTTCGTCCTTTCGTCTATTTTCTCTTTATTCTTTATTCTTCCCTTTGTTCTTTTTTCTCTTTGTTTTTATTCTCTTCGTCCTTTCGTCTATTTTTCTCTTTATTCTTTTTCTTCCCTTTATTTCTTTTTTTTTCTCTTTATTCTCTTCGTCCTTTCGTCTATTTTCTCTTTTATTCTTTTCTTCCTTTGTTTTTTTTCTTTTTCTCTTTTTCTATTTTTCTCTTTATTCTTTTCTTCCCTTTGTTCTCTTTTTCTCTTTATTCTCTTCGTCCTTTCGTCTATTTTTCTCTTTATTCTTTTCTTCCCTTTGTTCTCTTTTTCTCTTTATTCTCTTCGTCCTTTCGTCTATTTTTCTCTTTATTCTTTTCTTCCCTTTGTTCTCTTTTTCTCTTTATTCTCTTCGTCCTTTCGTCTATTTTCTCTTTATTCTTTTCTTTCCTTTGTTCTCTTTTTCTCTTTATTCTCTTCGTCCTTTCATCTATTTTTCTCTTTATTCTTTTCTTCCCTTTGTTCTCTTTTTCTCTTTATTCTCTTCGTCCTTTCGTTCTCATTTTCTCTTTATTCTCTTATTCACTTCTCTTTATTTTGTTTTTCTTTTTATTCTCTTTATTTTTTTTTTTTTTTTATTCTCTTCATTCCTTTTTCTCCCCTTCATTCTCTTTTTTATTCTTTTTTTTTTCCCCAACATTCTTATTTCTCTGGTCTCTTGTTTTCTTTCTTCTATTTTTTCTCTTTTTCACTATATTCTCCATTATTTCTCTCTAATATTTTTTCTGCTTTATTCTTCTTTTCTCCTCTTCACTTCTTTACATTTTTTGGAGCCACCCTATTTCTCTCTTCTTTTCTTTTTTTTATTTCTTTTTCACTATTCTCTCCTCTTTTTTTGCTCTGGATTATTTTCTTCGTCTTTTTTATATTCTTTTCTACTGCTTTTATTCCTCTCTCTTTTTACCTTTTCTCCGAATTCTCGTTTTTCTTATATCCTCAATTTCTCTCTCCTCCTCCTCCCTCTTATCTTCTTTCTTTCATTTTTTTCTTTTTGCTCGATAATCCGTTATTTTTTTCATACGACCAATTTAATATCTCCACCCGTCATAGTCTCCTGGTTATCATATTTTGCCTTTTCTTCTTATTTTAGTCCACCCTTCGTTCCACAATCTTTTTTTTTCATTTTGGCTTTTTTTTCTTTCCCTCTCCTCTTCTGTTACTTTCCTTAATTTGCTTCATTTTTCTTTTTAACGTCTTTCATTCCCATTCCTTCTCTTCCTCTTTTTAAGTTTACCCTCTTTCTCTTTAACTCTTTCATTTCTCTCTTTTCTCTTTAACGTCATTCACTCCCACTGCTTCTTTTTCTTTACTATCTTTCTTTCTATCCCTCTTCTTTCTTTTCCTTGTTTTCCTTTACTTTATATCTTTCTGTCTCCTTTCTTTTCCTTTAACTATTTCTTCCTCTCTTTTTTTTTCTTTTCCTTATTTTCCATTAACCTCTTTCTTTCCCTCTTTTTCGTTACCTCTTTTCCTTTAACAACTTTCTTTCTCTTTCCCTTATCTTTTTTTACTCTCTTTCTTTCTTTCTTTCTTTCTTTCTCTCATACGTTCTCTTCACTGTCGTTCTTTCCTTTTCTTTATTATCCTCTTTCTTTCGTTTTTTATTTCATATTTTTTTAGCGTCGCAGTTCCGACATTTACTTCTTTCCGAAATAGAATATAATATGGCGTCACAAGTATCCTGTAAAGATCAGATGAAAATTAAGATTTTTATTTACTATTATTGTGCGTCGATGTTTTTTGTTTTGATTTAGGATTTACCAGACGTTAAGCCGAGCTGAGCTACTAACAACGTATTCACTGAAATGGTTAATTATTTTTGGTTGACTTTTACTTCTTTTTTCTTGTTAAGTATTTTTTTGCGGTTGTGATTAAATACTGTTTTATTTAACATTGAAGTCTTAAGTTATACTTAATTATTAACGGCCACCGTACGTCACAAAAATGTTATGCTATTCTTATATTTTAGTTGTACTGCGTGGTACGAAAGGAAAAAAAAATCTGTCATATAGGAAGAAAATCAGTAACTACCTACACTGAGGTTCGAGCGTGACACTTTGTACTTATGAATATATGTTTTCCTCCAGTTGTATAAATAGCGGTGTCAGGTTACTGACTAGAGTGATTATTGTGTGACTATTGAGTATAACTATCCAGTCGAATTTGAGTGAATTATTGTGCGCGGATGATTTGGGTTTTGATTTAGGATTTACCGGACGTTAACTCGAGCCACGCTACTAACAAGGTATTCACTGAAATGAGTAATTATCTTTGGTTGACTTTTACTTCTTTGTCCCTTTTAAATATTTATTTGCGGTTGTAATTAAATACTGTTTTATTTTAACGTTGAAGTCTTGCGTCATACTTAATTATTAAAAAGAGTAACTTCCGACACTGAGTTTCGAGCGTGACACTTTGTACTTATGAATAAATGTTTCCCTCCAGGTGTATAAATAACGGTGTCAGGCTACTGACTGCAGTGATTTTTGAGTGACTATTAAGTGGAACTATCCAGTCGAATTTGAGTGAATTATTGTGCGCGGATGATTTGGGTTTTGACTTAGGATTTACCGGACGTTAAGCCAAGCCGCACTACTAACAAGGTAGCCATTGAAATGGTTAATTATCATTGGTTGATTTTTACTTCTTTGTTCCTTTTAAGTATTTATTTGCGGTTGTAATTAAATACTTTTTTATTTTAACATTGAAGTCTTCGATCACCATACGTCGCAAAAATGGCGGCGAGGAATACGCGTTAAACTCACGCATGAAGGGAAAAACATCTTAACAGGATATTCAGTGAATATTTTCCACTTCATAAAAGTAACTACACGTGGAACTACTAATTTCGCAGAACTACAAATAAATAACCTGGCGAGGATATTCAAAAATGAATTCGGCGGACTACAGAAAAAATGGAAGAATTAAAGTCTGCCATGATTTAAATGTTGGAACAATAATTGCAACAATAGAAAGTTCTGGAATTATTATTATATAGAACTTCACTGGAAAGAACGTCAGATTTATTCACTCCAGATGCTATCGCCAATACAATTAGCGAATTTTTATACAATCCAGAAAGAATAACTTTTCCAGCGTATTATGGAAGATACGAAGAAAATTTCCAAAATGATTCTTTGTACTAGAATGATGAAAAAAAAAGCTCGCTTAATGTTAAGAAAACTGTCTTCTGCGGAACAGGAAAAATAGATAAATTTTATTTTGCCAAGAAAAAAAACTATGAGATAAATTTTGGTGAACGTATTAATTTTTCATGGTTGGATTATCTTTTCAAATATCGGTGAAGAATAATTGACCACAATTCCTTTCAACCGTGGCTGGCTGAGAAGTGATGTCTGTGTCGTGTGCGCGAGTGTGTGGTATAGAGAAACGCACGTGCAGATGTTGTGTAAAATCAATCAGATTGTGAATATCTGCTCGTCTGTCTGTCTGTCTATGAAGGACTAGTTCTTATAGGGTTCCGTGACTAAAGGTGACCGTAAACGAAAAAAATTAGAGCAAATATCAAATAACAGAAAACAGATCATTTGAGGACTTCCAAAAGCGGCAACAGCCAAAATTGATATCACATGCACCTCAAATCTGTTTTTCCATATAACGCGACCATTTTCCTTAAAGTTCGTATTTTCTCGATTTCCAAAATTTTCCAGCAAATCTCAGGGAATAAGATTAATTTCTAAAATTATTGTTTACTAGAAAGAACAGTGAAATTTCCACGTTTTCCCAATTTTAATTTTCTGATGAAACTTAATTCTTAAGGTAATGCGTCGAATAAGTACATGGAGAAATCTACAAGAATAATATTCGTAGAAATTCCCCTATGGCATCATTAAGCTCAGTTGAGCCTAACAGATTTAACAAAATATTGCAATAACATTCATAAATATTAATACCGGTTGTTATTTTAAGAAATGTTTACAAATGAAAAGATTTGAAATTGGCAACTTTTTCCATTTCATTGAAATAGCCACTAAACATTTTTATCATCACTTCTTTCTTTCTTTCTTTCTTTTTCTCACTGAAACCAGGTAGCGTCTCTGATATGCGTTTTGTTTTGCCACGCAATCAAAACGGAATACTCTATTATTATTATTCTCTGAAACTTCCGGTTTTTAGATGTGTTTTATCTTTGGTACTCTCAACATCAGTATTTTGCATCGAAATAGGAATATAGATTTTCTTATTTAACCCATAGCTAGGGAACGAGACATGATTTTCTACGGGTTTTTGCGCGAAACTGACTATAAGATGATAATAATAATAATAATAATAATAATAATAATAATAATAATAATCTGCAACTTCTACGGTAAGGAAACTGAAAGAAACTGGTATGAACACCACCCAGATCCGGTTACGGAGATAGGACCTGTTACAATTATATTGTTATTAAAGACCACAAACAAAAACGGTGCCTCCTTATTGATATGGCAGTCCCTGCTCACTGCAATGTATCTTTGAAGATATTCAAAAAGCTGTCAAAATACAAGGACCTTGAAATAGAAATCTCGAAAATGTGGCATATGGGAACATCAACAATCCCTGTTGTAGTTGGAGCCCTAGGACTGGTTGGAAAAGATTGCAGTAGACTAATTGAAGGGATTCCTGGAAGTCCATGCATCAAGGAGATACAAAACATTGTTCTGACAAGTACAGCCCACACTTTACGAAGGGCTTTATCTATGTAATTCCTTTTTTTTTATCAGTGGAAAGTGTCATGACGCCATTTCTAACCTTAGGTCCCTGGGCGGGACCCGGAAAGAAATGTGTAAACGCCAGAAATTAAAAAAAAATAATAATAATAATTTCTGTCTGAACTTCTCGGATTAGTTTTACTATTATTTACATTATTTACAGATTTACACGGAATATTGTCCTCAACTTTGTTGTTGTAATCACTGCGTTTCAACCGTTGTGCCGTTCGACAAACTCCTAATGAAGGCCGGAGCTCATGACGGTCGAAAAGTTGTAATAATAACAACCAAGATGATGACAAGTGTTCACTTGCAAAAAAGGCAAATAATAATAATATTTGCTTTTTCTACTGTAGTGGAGAAAAGTTGATTTCCGACACACAGCAGGGAATTGGCTTGCGACTTTAATTAATGCTTACAGTTCCCTGACAGATTAAATTCGTCCATTCCATCATCGAATGGTTCGTCTTTTTACCATGTCAGCCATTTTTTTTCCTCCGGGCTAAACAGTGGGTTTCCCATAGTCATCAACCTCCTGCTAAAATCAACGGATGGACGAGCATCGCTCACAAATCTTTAGACTCTTGTCGTCTGCTTTTCAAGGCATGATTTTTCATTTCCCGTTGCTGTGTTAATTCGACGCCATTTTTTTTCTCTTGTTCTCTTCTCTCACTCATTGAAGTATATCACGTGCACATATTTTCTTGTGTTTTCTTTCTTTTTTTACTCTATTTTTTCATTCGATATTTACCGTCTTCTCGCTTATCTTTATTCGTATTATGATCAGAATCCTCTAAACTTTAGTGGAACAACCAAAGCCGGGAAGTAGAGCAATTTTATGACAGTATATCGATCAAAACTGCTATTATTTGCGGGAATACTTTGTAAAAGGTATTTCGGCCGCAAGCTATGAAGACGAAAAATAAGTTTGGTGTATCTGGCATTCATGAACTCACTGGTAAGAAGACACATCCTTGTCTTGCTTCTCTTTCTATTTTTGTATATTTAAAGAAAGTTAGTTTCTAATAATCCAAATCTTTTTTTTTTCGTATCAGGCATATAATAACAGCGTACATATGGTCAAACAGCATCCTTGTAAAATAGAAAACTGTACACTTGCTATGATGTAATAATAATAATAATAATGTAACCACAAGTACAGCCAACACCTTACGAAGGTCTTTATCTATGTAAACTATGTGTGATCTTAGATTTTTTAAAATTTTTCCTCAAAAACTGCTCAGTGGAAAATGTCATGATGCCATTTCTAACCTTGGGTCTCTGGTCGGAACACGGAAAGAAATGAGTATACACCAGAAAACAAAGATGATGATGATGATGATGATGATGATGATAATAATAATAATAATAATAATGTTAATTATTATTATTATCATTATTATTATTATTATTATTATTATTATTATTTTCTTTGTATAATAAGGTCTTTGTATTTTGACAGCGTTTTGAAAATCATCAAGGACTGCCATATCAATAAGAAGGCACTTTTTTTGTTTGTGGTCTTTAATAACAATGTCTGGGCTGTTGGCTTTGATTGTTCTGTCAGTGTGTATTGTATAGTCCCATAGAATTGTAACAGGTCCAATCTCCGTAACCGGATCTGAGTGGTGTTTTCCTTTGGTTTCTAGTGTATTCATTTCTTTCCGGGTTCCGACCAAAGACCTAAGGTTAGAAATGGCATCATGACAATTTCCACAGAGCAACTTTGAAAAAAAAATCACATATATTACATAGTTAACGCCCTTTGCAAGTTGTAGGCTGTACTCGTGAAAAGAATTTTTTGTATTACTTTAAGGCATGAGCTACCTGGAATCCCTTTAATAAGTCTATTGGAATTTTTTTCCAGCCAATCCGAGGAGTCCAATTACAACTGGAATTGTTGATATTCTCACGTTCCAGATTTTTTAGTTTTCGATTTCTAGGTCCTTGTTATTTAATCGTTTTTCAAGATCTTCAAAAACATATTACAGTCTGCTAGGACTGCCATACAATGAAGAAGGCAGTTTTTTTTCTTTGCAACCTCTAATCACGATTACTGGCCGATTAGCTTTGAGTCTTCTGTCTATGTGTATTGCGAAGTCCCATAAAACTGTTACAGGTAATATCTCCGTAACCGGGTCTTGGTAGTGTTCATACGAATTTCTTAGAGTGTCCAGTTATGATGCTGTTATTATTTCATTTCCTTTGATTTCTGGTGTGTACACATTTCTATCCGGGTCTCGCCCAGAGATCCAAGGTTAGAAATGGCATCATGACATTTTCCATTGCAAAAAAAAAATTATTACTATTGCTTGACTCTCCCGTCGTATTCGACGTGTGAGGGTCAAGCAACTCAGTTCCTAGGAACCGACAGACAGCCATGATTTGATTATAGTAGTTAAGAATTTGTGCAGAACCAACCACACTTTTTAAAGGGCCGAATACAGAGATTCGACTGGAATTCGAGCTCGACTCTCCGATTCCTCAATCCGAACCCGCTATCCATTAATCTATCATCATCATCATCATCATCATAATTATTATTATTATTATTATTATTATTTACTTTCATTTCTGGTGTGTACTCATTTCTTTCTGGCTCCCGACTAGGGACCTAAGGTCAGAAATGGCATCATGACATTTTCCACTGAGCAAAAAAAAAATGAAGACATATTTTACATAGATATGCCGTTCGGAAGTTGTGGGCCGTACTCGTGAGAACAATTTTTTGTATTTCTTTAAGTTATGGGGTACTAGGAATCCCTTCATTGAATCTATTGGAATTTTTCCAATCAATTCGAGGGCTCCAACTACAACAGGGATTGTTGATGTTTTTATGTGCCATTATTATTATTATTATTAAACGAACAAAATGATTGACGTAACTCATCCAATATTTTTCAACTGTTAAGAGAAGTGTTGTAGAGTAGTTTTCACAGTGGAGGCTTGTATTTCAATAAGTCGGTCCTAAAAAGGGTCCGACGTACAAAACGTTAGGAACTTGAAATAAGAATTAATGACGCACCAATCTAGTTGTGATGGTTGATACTTCAATGTCCGACATCGACTGACTCGCTCAACTCCACTGAGCTCAACTGGCGACCGCTACTACTACTACTACTACTACCTATTATGTGTGGGAGAGTCTATTACAATAGAATAGGTAATGTTCTGGTATAACAAGAAGAGAGCTATTTAAGAAAAGATATAGAAAAGAAAAAAACAAATCAATGAAATGGGGGCAATTTATTTGTTTGCGGTCTTTAATAGCAATGTCTGGGCGAATAGCTTTGGTTGATCTGTCTGTGTGTATTGTGTAATCCCATAAAATTGTAACAGGTCCTATCTCCGTAAGCGGGGCTGGGTGGTGTTCATACCATTTTCTTTCAGTTTCTTTCCCGTAGAAGTTGCAGATTTTCCAGTAGAGATATTGACCCACTCTGTCATGCCGGATTTTATATTCAGTGGATACCAATACCTTGCAATCTGATTATTATTATTATTATTATTATTATTATTATTATTATTAATTGTTTACTTGTGTATAATGTGTGACATACATTGGTCTCGAGAGACCTTGGATAATTATTTACATTATTCGGACTATTGTCCTCATCCTCATCTCACACTCTTTGGGTCCTGTCACTGGATCTAACTAATGCCTCTATCCACTGTACCATGTGTCCTTGAGTGTCCAAGAGTGTGAGTTCAATACCCGGTTAATGCAGTGGAGAACTTGGAGAGGGAAAATTAACAGGAGATAACTGATAACTGACATTCATTAGACATGGCACGTGGAACTAGAACAGTCTACACCAGTGAGCGTAATAAAGGGTTCAGTTCGACATTCCAACCACCTGAAGAAAGCCGGATCTTACAACGGCCGAAACTTTGTAATAAATATGGAGACAAATATGAGGACAATAGTCCGAATAATGTAAATAATGTACATAATAATTCATCTCAGAAATATAGAAAGATACAGACCTTGGATCTGCGCCCAAGAAGTTATACCTCAGCTGCTAATGGCATCTGGTTACCAAAACCTGATTAACTCTAAAACTGGACCTGTCGATATGTTATGGATGTACAGTGGTGTTTTCTTTCCTTCGGGCATTCTTCTCCCCTGTTACAAGTGTTATTAGTGTCTTCTCTCCTCGCTCCAGCCTTCCGTATATATTGCGTCTCCAGCGTGAGCGATCATTGAAGATATCTTCCCACCTTTCGATGTCTATGCCCATGTGCATCGCCCTCATGGCTCTTTTGAAGACGCCCATGAAACGAGAATGAGGTCTCCTTCGTGCCCTCTTGCAGGTGGCTTCTTCCCCGTATAGAAGGACTTTGGGAATCCTCCGATCAGTAGGATGTTGCTTCCTGTGTTTTTTCAGTTGCGGTGAGAAATCACTGGAGTGTCCTCTGTAGACTTGTACAGTTTTTTCATGAAAGATCGGCGGTTTCCCATGTAGCACGTCTCCCAACTCTCAACGCCACTGATGTTGTCAAAGGGGAAAGGTCGAGTCTAATACAGCTTGACACCGGCTTCATCGCAGGAGCTTCCAGAACAAAACTGAACATAACATCAGATTGTCTTAGAAACTCTGGCTCCGTATTTGTCTTCTGGGTTTATTCTCAAAGCTTTATCCCTTGATTGGGTATTGCGCAGGTAGAAAATCAGTTTTCTATTAGATGGACTACCTTCCCAGGCTGACGAGTTCCATCTACTCGTAGTATATATTCACACACACACACACACACACACATATATATATATATATATATATATATATATATATATATATATATATATATATATATATATACGAACCCCTTCTTCCTTCCTTTCTCCAAACTTATCGATAGCGAAGGTAGAGAAGGATCGCAATTTGTGTTATTTTGTTTTTTAACAATTTACATTTTTTTTTTGTAAAATATATTTCTTTCCCAAGGGACTCTTTCCATTTTGATCAGACACGGCCGAGTGGAATCGATTAAGGAACAAACACGGTAGGCGACAAACAACAATGGAGACAGAAAATATAAATTTATTAATAAATATGGAATCGTGGAAAAGATTAAAAAAAACAAAAAAAAACAGGGCAAAACAAAAATGACGATATGTCAAGACTAAACATTTAAACATTGTGGACAAAATAGTGGGAGGAGAGCATCCTTTAAGAAAGGAAAAATAAAAAACAGTGTATGACCTTGTGCCATACTGCCACGATTTTATAGAACATGTGCTATACCTGCACGGATTCACAAAACATCAACATTTTAAGACAATGTTGAAAGAAACATATAATAAAAAGATTTCATGCTAAATTTTCATGAAAGTACAAATACGAAAAGGAGTTACATTTAAACAAAAACGGGGTACAAGAAAAATAATAAACTTAACTCAGAATAAAGTCCTTTTTCACTAACAATGACTCTAAGTCTTATCTATTTCTTATCTTTTTTCTTTTTCCTTTTTTATTTCTTTTTAAAAGGGTATCTTTTTGATGTCTTCTCTTACTTACTCTCTTTCTCTTTTCGTCGTCTAGGGGCTCGACTGACGATGAAGCAAAAAATACGTTCCCTCTCTCTTTCGTCTTGGTATGACAACATTCTTGCACGAGATGGTCTGTTCTTTCTTTCTTTCTTTCTTTCTTTCTTTCTTTCTTTCTTTTCCCTCTCGTGCTTTGTTTAAGGGCTCTTTCTCTTCGATATAGCGGCGTTCCGCGTACGTCATCAAAACCGGTCCATCCATTCGACTGGGAGACCAATTCTCCTCACAATTTTGGAAACACATCTTTTAGGTCCATATACTGAGATATTTGCCAAACGTCCGTCCATTCCGCTAACTCCTCCGTTTCATTATTCGTTTCCTTTTTTTTTTTTTTATCACGTGGTCAATTTTCAAAATAGAAAGTTTTTCCCATTATGGGTAGAATTAGGTCATCGACCCTCTCTCTCATCTTCAGGGTCAGAGAAAGTTTAGTTTAAAGTGTTTCAACTTCTCCCAACCGGAACCTATCCGCGTAGATCATGCTGTCAACACCTTGACGAAAAGAGAAGGAAAGGGTACACTCTGGTCACTCCTTGTCGCCACTAAGTCTACCTATCTCTTTGCGTTTACTATCTTTACATTTTCTGCAATTACTGGGCTCTTTATTTTAGAATGCTTCTAAAATATAAGCATTGGTATAGTTTTTTGGAATATATCTAGATCGGGGTTCGTAACAATATATATATATAATTATAGAAATTAAGGAGGATTTGAGATAATTAAGTAATATCATCGAAGAAACCTCAACAGAATGGGTTTTGTTCTATATTTGAGACTCATCAGCACTACCGATAATTGAAACCAAGATAGCTACATTGACAGGCAAACGTCATACCAACTGTACTAACGGGCCTCGGTGACGAAGAGGTAGCGAACTAGACTCGATACTGCGCCGCTCGTTCACATATTCCGTGGTGGAACTCCTCCAAGTTCCTTTACCCATAGGACTGTGCCTCCGAGAGCTACGACTATCATCACCAAGCCGCTCCATCCAGAGCATTAGAAGCCGGTTCAAGCAAGGATATACAAATGATAGAAATTAAGAAGGATTTGAGGATATGTAATTAATAAACAATAAAATCAAAAATCAGCTCATATGAGGAATAGCCTATTTCGGCTGACGAAAATATCGGTCGTCTGTCTTATCAACTCCGGTGTGGACTGAATTTGTGTTAGAAATGGAAGGTTAACTGTGAAATAAAAAAAATCTACCTGTGGAAAAACCATTACAGAATTTATCCATTTTAATGGTTCAGCCGGAAGAAACGCACAAGACAGGGGCCAGTGGTGGGTGGAATGTATTTGTCATGAAGGAAAGTTTTTTTGTTTTTTTTTTGTTTTAGCTTCACAGTTAAATTTCTGACGCAAACTCAGTCCACACTGGGGTTGATAAGACAGACAACCGGGTTGAATGAACATAGAAATAAAAGGTATATAAGGATGGTAGAACAGGAACAAAGTGGCATGATAAAGAGTCAAAATTTGCTTTGAGCAAAATATATAGGAAGTTGGGAGGGCCATATACATACATTTCCAAAAGGGACATGGCACGTAAAAGAAATGTACTGATGTTACAACGGGAACAAAGAGATATTGTAAGGTGTCAAAAAGATGGGATATTTAAGGTGTCAAAAGGGGGATGACACATAAAAAGAAATGTACTGATTTGAACAAAAAATATGGGAAGTTGGGGAGAGCCATGACTACATATTCCCAGAAGGGGGATGACACATAAAAGAAATGTACTGATGGTAGAACAGAAACAAAGAGATATTATAAGGTGTCAAAAGTTAGTTTGAGCAAAAAATATGGGAAGTTGGGGAGAGCCATGACTACATATTCCCAAAAGGTGGATGACACATAAAAGAAATGTACTGATGGTAGAACAGGAAAAAGAGATATTATCCCAAAAGGTGTCAAAAGTTATGTTTGAAAAAAAAAATATAGGGCCAAAAGTTGTTTGGGGAGAGCCATGACTACATATTCCCAGAAGGGGGTGACACATAAAAGAAATGTACTGATGGTAGAACAGGAACAAAGAAATATTATAAGGTGTCAAAAGTTAGTTTGAGCAAAAAATATGGGAAGTTGGGGAGAGCCATGACTACATATTCCCAGAAGGGGGATGACACGTAAAAGAAATGTACTGATGGTAGAACAGGAACAAAGAGATATTATAAGGTGTCAAAAGTTAGTTTGAGCAAAAAATATGGGAAGTTGGGGAGAGCCTTGATCCCTCATTTCCTGAACGTATATAGCACATAAAATAAATGTTTTTAAAGTCATTTTGAGCATTAAAAAAACACGAATTTGTGGAGAGGCATGATCGCCACGTCCTTAAAAAAACGTAACATATAAAGGTCTGCACATTTTGTTTATCTCTGTAATATGAGGATCTGTGTCTTTGAAGTAGGAAAAGTGAAAGTTCGTTAAGGGGAAATTTGTGAAAACGTCAGCTGTTTCTCAGAATCACGCTAATTCAACTTTTACGACTGTGACACTAGATTCATATCAATGAGTCTAGACTACGTGAATGTCTTCATACTTGAATTTCTAAAAGACCAGACGCTTGAATTGAATTCAGATTCTTTTAAAGAAGCTTCAAATTTGAATTTCAGTTCAAGTATAGCGAATACAAATTTGATTACTTCCAAAATAGACATAAACGGAAAATTGACTTAGAGTTTATTTAATCTCCAGTGGATATTGATACAAGAAGTATTTGGTTACCTTATTCTGTCATTGATTTAGGCTCTTCGATTGGTAATGCTATTAATCTGTACTACTCGAGAAATTGTGGTATTATGGTGACTGTATGTTTGGTTGGTTGGTTTTGTTTAGCGGCATATCAACCTGTAAGGCAGTGATTCTCATATGGTGCACCTAGATGCACTGGTGCTCCCTGGAAGCTATCTCGGTATGTCCTCTCCTTCCAGAGAAATATGTGTCTAGGTATAATAAATAAATATATTTACTTTGTTATATTGAAGGACCCGTCTTGTTCATATTTATGTGAATTAGCTTTTCTGCTCTTACCACAATTAAGAGAGGAACTCTTCAATATATTGACGAGGATATGAGTTTGCTTATCAAATATACGGCCAAGCATTGAAGAAATCGCTAAAACTCATCAGGCTTATATTTCTCATGAACATAAGAATGAATAAACTTAAGGTAAGTTTTATTTTATATTTTTATTGCATCATTTATTTTCTACAATATTTGACATCATTATAAAATATTTTTCCGAAATTTGTATGTAGAGCGTCTACAAATGTTGGTAGTATTTCAAGTGCGTCCAGACTTCAAAAAGTTTGTGAACCATTGCTCTAATTAATTGGGAAAAAAATCGAATAATTCTATTATTAGTTACGCTTTCTTTTTTCTTTTTTTCGGTATTTTTCCAATAAATCATGACCCAGTGCGCATGTCTATTCTGTTGCCTGATGATTCTTTCTCTTCTAATGTCATTCGCAACTTTTTCCGCATTTCGTTTTGCTTTTGTTCTTGAAATTTTTAAAATGAAAAACACTTTTTAACTCTGCATGAATTATTGCAATCATCATAGCTGAATGCTGGCTTCCTTTCCATAAAACTAACAACCTTTTTTAATAGATTTTGCAATTTCAGTCCAGGTTTCATCACAATCATATTTTTTTTCCTTGTTCATTGTGACAGTTTGAAGGCTGAAGAATAGTTTTTTTCGGAAGATTGTATGTCATACAATGTTAACTTTCCTTTGTTGAACTCAGCCATTAGTTACAATGAACTTTCACCAGCGTCTAGTCTGTTTAAAATTTCCACTTTTTGCGATAACTCCAAAGTTGTTCTTTTCTTCTTATTCCCATCATCTTTTGCACCAAATACAAGCCATTAGGGTGAAATACGCATGAACAATTATTCAAAATAAATTTCCTGTTAAAACAGAAATTTCAAATCAGTTAGACATCACCCCCAAACATTTCAAATATACACATCAAAATCACCTTCGGATATGCGGGATTCCGGATATGAGGGATGCTATTGTATTAAACACTGCTGTCCTTAAATAAACTTTTCCCACTGCTCTTTTATATCTTAAAATCTGCTCCAGCTATGGGTAAATAGCAGGGTAGACTGGATCCTATAACATAGGGTGGCAACCGCCCTAGGGGAGGAGCAACTGTAAATTCAAAATCTCCAGTGTAAGGATCGAGGTTGACCCACATCATATTTCGTGGTCGTTAACTGTCGATCAAGAGCTTGATGAGGAGACGGGTGCCACCAAGCTATATGAAAACCCAATGAAAGGATCATGAAGAAGAAGAGTAGGCAAATTTGGACTTTCGTACCCGAAAAAATGCAGTGTCAAAAGAATGGTTCCCTTGACTCCGCTACAATTTTAACTACCTTCACTCATCGGCAATACTTTTTTTAAAAAAAGTAATCATTAGAATTGTAGTAAAACCTAAACATATGATTAAAACGAATTTATACAATTTTTGTACTTGAGAATTTACAACAAACCTATTAAACACTATTTATTAAATTTGCAATAATTTTTTTTATTCTAAACACTAATACAATTAAATCTACTGCAATGCAATATTTATCATTTAATTTTTTTTATTTCCTTGTTCATTGTGAAAGTGTGAACGCTGGAGAATAGTTTCTTTGGAAGATTTTATGTCATACGATATTGACTTTCCTTTGTTGAACTCAGCCATTAGTTACAATGAACTTTCACCAGCGTCTAGTCTGTTTAAAATTTCCACTTTTTGCGATAACTTCAAAGATGTTCATCCTCTTATTCCCATCATCTTTTGCACCAAATACAAGCTATTAGGGTGGAATAATCATAAGCAATTATCCAAAGTAAATTTCTTGAAAAGCAGAAATTTCAAATCAGTTACATATCACCCCAAATAATTAAAATATACACATCAAAATCATAAAGAAATAAATATGAAAATAATTTTTATTTAGAAATTTATAAACATTTACTAAATTATTAAAAGATATGAATCAACTATAAGTAAATGCTTATTATTTGCCATTTTTACCGTTCGAATCACTTGGCATTAATCGATGTTGGTCCAATCAAAAATCTACTGAAAAGGATGTGAAAATTCTCATAGCTAAAGCCTAAGCCGCCATGAATA